ATTTTAGCTTCGATGCGAAGCTGAGAAGGTATTGGTTTTCTAAGATGTGTTTATTTTTTTGTAACTGTTACCACTTTTTCTCAGCTCTCACCGAACCGATTTCTTTCAATGATACGTCAAAAGATCACAAATCGTATCTAGTCGAAGACATTACTCTCAAAAATTGAAAAAAAATCCCTCGTTACCCGTAAATGGGGGAAACCTCAAAAAAAATTACAAATTTAAAAATCGCTAATTTTAAAAAAATTTTTATTTTTTTTACTAAAAACTGCCATAACTTTTTTAAAAATGAACATATCAATATAATATTTTTTTATATAGATGCATGATATCATTACCTTTCATTTGGTATATTTTTTTGTTATATCTGATTCTTCAACTGCCCACAAGGGGGGATTTAAAATGACAACTTTTTTTACGAAAAATTAACTTTTGAAAATGTTCCGGAAGGTCTGACACTTTTATATATATCTTAAATTAAAGCTAATGTAATGTACTTTATTATGAAAAAAAAAAATTCGGACTTTATTTTATCTTCACGGTGAAAATGGCTACCGAATGCTTTTATTGTGTGAAAATCTCGATTTTGTCTATTACTTTTTTAACTTTATAATGCTATAACTTATTGAAAAGTGTATGGATCCACATAATTTTTTTATGAGAAATAATATTTTTTAATAAACCCTTTTTCATTCGACATATTTTGTCTTAATCGAGATATTAATAACGAACTAGCAAATCATGTTGCTTTTGGAATAATCCACCAATTTTTTAAAATTAAACACTATCTAAAGATTTGCATCGAAGCGTTTTTTTTTTATAGTGATTTTAATCACTGTCAGATATCATTATACTTGATCCAAATATGTCACGTCACCACTGTGCCGCGACCCCCCTGTGCTGGGTTTTTTTTATTTAATGATACCAATTTTACATTTGCAAGCTAAACTAAAAAAAAGTTTAAAAATTCAACATTTTTATGTTATAAACTTTCATAAAGAACCAAAAACTGTAGCACAGTGAGTTCGCGTCCTAGTATGGACGTGACATGATTGGGAGAAGTATAGACATGATTAAAATCACCATCATAAGATAAAAATTTAAATAAATTTTACTTCTTATGTCTTTAGAACTTTATTCTATGTCAATTAAATTATATAATATTCATAAAAGTCAGTGTATTCCTCTTGTAAGATATTTTTAAATAGAATACGAAACATAGAATTTTAACACAAAATTAGCATTTTTTTTTTTACTACGGCAGCTATTTGCACGTAAAAGATAAGTCGTCGGGAAATTTTTTATTTCATTTTATGGTGCATAACGTAAGTTTTAATTTGATATATGTTTAAAGGACGCAATATTTCCGGAACATTTTCAAAAGTTAAGTTGAAAAAGTTCTATATTTTATACGTATGTTACAAGTTTTGAACGTCTTCTGTATAAAAAGTATGTCAAATGAAAGATATAGTCCTAATGTATTTAAAAAAAAAAATTTGTGTTTATACATATATTAATCAAAAAGTTATACCAATTTAAAGTTGAAAATTTTAACACAAAAATAGCATTTTTTTAACTATGACAGCAGTTTGCACGTAGAAGATAAGGTGTCGGGACAATTTTTTTTTATTTTATAGTACACAACATAAGTTTTAATTTGATATATGTTTAAAGGACGCAGTATATCCGTAAAATTTTCAAAAATTAAGTTCAAAAAGTTAGTTTTTGTAAACAAGTTGATATTATAAACCCCCGCCTGTTAATTGTTTGATTTTCAACAAAATTATATCAAATGAAAGAGAAATATCTAAGGTTTCAATATAAAAAAATATTATTTTTATTTGTTCATTTTTCTATAAGTTATGGCAATTTTTATAAAAAAAGTAAAAAAAATTTCAAAATTTACCAATTTTAAAAATCGTAATTTTTTGGGGGATTTTCATCATTTATGGGGAACGAGGGAATAATGTTGTATTTTTGAGGGTAATGTCATCAATTAGATACAATTTTTGATCATTTGACGTATTGTTGAGAAAAATCGGTCCTGTGAGAGCTGAGAAAAAGTAGTGACAGACACAAAAAAAAAAAAAAATAAATAAATATACATATTATGGTAAATTCAATACCTTCTCAGCTTTGCACCGAGCTAATAATATATTTTATTGAGAATAAAATTTATAAATTATGGGATATTTTTCATATGATTATTAAAATCCACCAAAAATAGCATAACCCGCTTTTTGGCTTAGTAACAACCAAGGGGACCAAACTTTTGCTCCCTCGTGTAAAAAATAGTTACGGCGCCTCTGCTTAAGAAGTAGTTTACATATATTATTTTGTAACCTTACAACATAAAAAATTAAATCTATATAATTTATGCCATTGAATAATGCATACAGGGCTAGACGTAGATATATAGAAATTATTATTATAATATATTATTACAATTTTTTAATAACCGATAAAGCACAATTACAAAATTACGTTAGACTTATATTGCTTACGCAGGCAGAAAACTTAGTAAAGATATCACTGAGAGAAGTTCTAAAGTCTTGTAGTGATGACGATACTTCAAGTATTATCGTTGTAAGTACATAATTTGTCTTATTTTATCATTTTTTTTGTAAAAAGTTTTTGAGTTTTATAAAATTCAAACAACATTTAAAAATAAATGAAATATGAAATTAATTGATAAATAATTAATTTTATTTGTATTCATAAATAATTTTCACAGATTAATTTATTTACCAATCAAGTAATCAAAAGAGACATAAAAATATCAGCTTGTGGATTTTTTTCAATCAATATGTCATTGATTCACGGAGTATGCAATATTTAATTGTTATTTGGATTGAAAAAACATAACTATACCAAATATTTATTTTTTTTAGCTCATTCAATTGGCCACAACATATTTGATAGTTATAATTCAATACAGTTCTAAGTCCAAAACAAAACCTTGATTTTAATTCAATGAATAAGTAAATGATATACAGGTAGGGTGTTCAGTAAGTAAGGAAATGGTTTTTTTTACTCATTACTTTATTTAGTATTTACTAATAAATCATATTTCATTATCATACTAATATTAAAAAGAAAAAAAAGAGGTGGTATTTTCCACCGTCCTCCCGTCACAATAAAAAAAAGTAGTTGGGTTGCGTAAAAAAATTTTAAAAAAAGTAGAGGAGCTGCGTCCCCCTGTGCACCCCCCCAATTCGAGCACTGGTCATCAGCAATAAAAAAGTTCACTTTTATGTTTCTGAAGTCGCTGAATTTAAAAATATATTTAGTGTTTGATAATTTTCTTTTAAAAAGGCATTAAAAAATTGATTTCGATTAATTATGTATGTAATATATTGGTTTATATTTTTTAATTACTGAATTTAGATTTGATACAATTTTTTTGATATTTTTCTTTTATTAGAAGTTACTGCTAGAGAAATTCAAAACTTGATATTTTTAGTCTCAAAATTCAAAGTTAGTATTTAATACACTCTCTAGAAAATATAAACAGTTCAATAATTTAAAATTATTGTTCAATTAAGTTTCGATTAGTTAAGCAACATAATAATAGTTCATAAAATTATTTGATTAATAAAATATTATGAGTTCAAATTCGGTTATATAATCCAAATGAATAATACTAAAATAAAAAATCAATTATTGATAATATGTGTAAAATTTTGGAAGCTGGTGAAAAATAATATATTTGTAGTAAATAAAAACATTTTTACTCTTAAACTGTTATTTATTAATAAGTCACTAAAATTCGTATAGTCTGATTCTTTTGTATTTTGGGCAATTTTGTGGTTTAATAACGTCTGAACGATTTGTTAGCAAATATTAGCAGCTAAAAATCAAAAGCTTATGTAAATATTCTATTAACTTTTTTTCTATAACTTGTGACTATTTTTGATCGGGAGTTCAACGTAGCTTATTTCATAAAGCACATATTTTGCCGAATGTTAATAAAAAAAACATGTTTTTACAATAATATGTAAGATTATTAAAGAAAGACAGTTTTTCTGCGATAAATTTAAAATTTAGGCCTTTGACTTTGCATTTTACTGGTATACCGAATACGTTTACTTTTTCAGCTAAAACTTATTTTATAGGTCATTGAATTACAAAGAAATACGATAATTTCCTTATAACTACGAAAACTCAATTAAATACTTTTAAATGCCAAAATTATATGAAATTTCGACACTTTTTTTTTTTAGTAACTATCGCTTAACTAAAATAGAATTAAAAAAAAAATTGAATTTTTGCCAGGTTGTTTACAAATTGTTACACTATGCGGCGCTTAATGTATGTAGTTGAGTGTAATTTTATCAATATAATAACAATTTAAAAACGTCATAAAAAAACTTGTTCAACGTTCCAATGTTATAAGTATGACTTTAAGCTTAAAGTGCTCGGCGTGTAAATAGCAGCAAAAAATTATCGATGCCCTTTGTTTTATGTCCATGTCGGTAACCAACCGCATAAAACGTGTAAGCGAATTGCACTTGTGTAAGAATTGTTTCCACAGCAAAACCAATTGCACAGCCGTGTCACTTGTTCGGTCGTCCTGTGGCACCCCGTCGATGGCATAAATCAACGAGTCGCTAGAATTGGCTGAAAACACCAGTGAATTAAATGTGTTAATTGTCGCACTATTGCGACTAACATCTTCGTTGCGAACGTACGTGCGGCGTTATATGTACGCAGTTCGGACGACTATGGCGCCCGTTAAATTGATTTGCGCAAAGTCCAAGCTGGCCCCGCCGAGTGTAGTGTCGTTACTGCAAGTCTCGGTAAAATATTTGCTTTTAGTGTATAAAATCATTACTAAATCAACACATACCGCAGTCTAAAACATTACTGGACGGACTCTGGGGTAGTATTAGCCGGATCTCAGCTCCTTTTTTAAAGATTGGGTGGAGTATAAAAACTTGTGCAAAGAAGCACGTGTGTGGTAAGTGAGGCAAAGTTTAAGAAGTTACTATCAATATAATGGTTGTAATGGGTAACGGGAAATCGGGGTCCGATTCCGGGGAGGGAGTCTGAGAAACNGTAAGTCAGGAAACGGGTTTCTATTGTTCTCATTGTTACAAACAATGAGAACAATAGAAACCCGTTTCCTGATTTACTGAACACCCTGTATAATTGATGACACGTACGCGTGTACGGGTATGAAAACCAAAAATATAAAATTGTATAGGAAAATATTATTGTCTTCAAGTGGTGAGCGGCGTGGGGTGAATGTGTTACGACCGTCTAGTCTCAAGGCCATAGACGACGGTATACGAGAGATAATAACACATGGCGAGTGAAGAGTTACACACAACAAACAAACATACTTGTGAAACTAATATAAGCGTGTTAAAAAAGGCGGAAAGAATATTTTGAAAAATTACTGAATGATGAGTATCCAAGAGATACATTCGAGGGTATCTTGTAGAACGAGGGACTGGTAGATTTAATTAGTGAGAAAAGGGTATGGAAGGCTGTGGTATCAATGAAAAAGAATAAAGCAGTAGGACCGGATAAAATTGCATGTTATTCGCTGACGATATAGTGTTGTTAAGAGGCAATAAAAAAGAAATTAATCAGAAGTTAAAAGTGTGGAGATCAGTTCTTGAAGGAAAGGGATAAAGAATAAGTAAAAGTAAGACAGAGTATATAGAGTAGTACTCTACGCCAACATTAATCAGTATTGCATTGGTGGAATTGAACGTGTTTTACCCGCGAGTAGTATTCGCTATAGTTTTTGTTATGTTTTGTCAATGCTAAAAATGAATTAATGGACGTTGTTCACTTGTGTATAAACTGTGTAGTTGTTTCGTTATTCCTTTACTTTCATATAAAGTGTAAATGTGAGTTCGTAGAAAAATAAATGAGTTAACAGTAGTGATGTAGACATTGTGGCCGAGTAAATTTCTTCCTTTAATTATATCTGATGAGCTGTTCGTCTGTTTCAGCATCTTAAAGTTAATTGTTTTTAAACCAAATTTCTATTGTTATATATGAAGTGTTGTTCTATTGTTGAACAACTAGTTGAAACAGATTATTGTTGCCTACGGTATTACGAAAACCACATAAATGATGAATTTCAATTTTGAATTCTAATCTATAAACCATTTAAAAAAATCAACGGTTGATCAGATAAAAAAGATCGGCCATTTTAAATAATTGGTTAGCATTAAGTATTTACAACCCATAATTTTAAAATTATAAGCACTTAAGTAAAAGAAAATGATAATGGGCTAATGGTACCAATTAAAAATTTACAGTTGTTCATATTATATTTCTTTGTATTAATATGTAATTATTTTTATAAAAGTCTTGGCCTGAATAACAAAAAAATAATAAATAGTAAATTGTTACGCAAAATTTACTTTTACATGTACGTCATCCGAAAAATGTCTTAAAACCTCATCTGAAATATCATAATTATTTTTTACTAGATTGACAAAGAACAATTTCAATATTTCTTTTTCCTCGTCAGTTATAGACTGCAAATACAGGGTGATTTTTTTATCATAACCCACTCAATTACTTGCAGAATAATAATACTTTAAACANATTTTTAATTTAATAAAATGTTTGAGTTTTTAATTCAATAGTAAATGGCATTTGAATTTTTAATATAACTTTATTCATTTATTAGATATAAACATTTAAAGTTTCAAATTTTTGAGTTAATATACAGGGTGTTCAGTAAGTCAGGAAACGGGTTTCTATTGTTCTCATTGTTTGTAACAATGAGAACAATAGAAACTATATGAGAACTCAAAAATTTGAAACTTTAAATGTTTATATCTAATAAATGAATAAAGTTATATTAAAAATTCAAATGCCATTTACTATTGAATTAAAAACTCAAACATTTTATTAAATTAAAAATACGTGTTACCATTTAAAAAAACAATGTTTACACCCTTACCAGGCATAAGGGATGAACTTAAAAAGTATTACGTAATTAATAATTCAAAAATAATGTGTAACTAAAGATAATAATAAAAAAAAAATTTTAAATTATTATTATTCTGTAAGTAATTGAGTGGGTTATGATAAAAAAATCACCCTGTATTTGCAGTCTATAACTGACGAGGAAAAAGAAATATTGAAATTGTTCTTTGTCAATCTAGTAAAAAATAATTATGATATTTCAGATGAGGTTTTAAGACATTTTTCGGATGACGTACATGTAAAAGTAAATTTTGCGTAACAATTTACTATTTATTATTTTTTTGTTATTCAGGCCAAGACTTTTATAAAAATAATTACATATTAATACAAAGAAATATAATATGAACAACTGTAAATTAAATATACAGGATATTTAAAAATAGTTAAAACTTCTGTAATAATGAGACAAAAATCATCATCAAACAGTCAGTGGCCTAGACTTTTAATTATTTATCAAAAATTGAGGGGATGCGTAAAATATTTAGTAAAAAATATATTTCGAGTAGTATTGAACATTTGTGTTGATAATTCTATAAATGGGTGTGGGTAATGACGCCCATAACATTGTTACACTTATAAAATATGGAAAATTTACCTTTGTAAAAATAAAAATATGTAAACTACATATAATATTTGATTTATGTTTTGTCTCCAAAGGCATCACTATCATTAATATTTGTATTTCACATAGCATAATTATTTAAGCCGTAGAAAAATATAATGTATGCATTTATTCTAAAAACATATTTTAGAACCAAAGTACCATATCGGATAATAAAACAAAATTTAACAAATTTAATCAAAATTTTTGAAATATAATATGAACAACTGTAAATTTTTAATTGGTATCATTAGCCCATTATCATTTTCTTTATCATCTATACTGAACCCAACCATGCCACGACCCCACTGTGCCGCCACCCCACTGTGCTGGGTTTTAAATATTATTGTTATAAAAAATGTAAATCATTATTATAGTAATTATAAATTGTAAGAAATTTAGCCATTGAACTCATACATTTTTTATTTTTCTTGAGAATTT